CAAAGCAACGTCTATGAAGCTTCTAGGAAGCTTTTATATTAAATACTATAGAATTTACTTACTTTTACCTACTTTTACTTACTTCTACCTATTTATATATGTAATTATTAGCTTACATGATTATGTCTGTGATACTTCGATTAGAAAATATAAACTTTAATTTTTAAAAAAGATTTGATATTAATAGATAGTTAAATTTAAAATCATTGTCAAAAGAAATAAAAAAATTCACATCTTTGACAAATCTCAAAATATAAAATAGAAATAGGTTAATATTATTACTAAAATTATTAATATTTGAATTTTTAGTAGATCTTTATATGATAGATGTTCAAATTTAATATTATTGCCAATGAATTCAAACCCTTATATCTTAAGTATATGTGAAGTATATTTATATACATATATATAATTTGATTATAAACTAAAAAATTTAAAGTAGAGTAAAAACAATTGGGCCTATTCAAAAACAAAGTTAAGATTTGATTTTTATAAAATTAATCATAAAATTACTTATGTTAATATTAGAAAGTTGATTGTGTATGTAATATGATGAAGTTAGCTTTAAAATAATTTTAATTCTATAAGACTTGCAAGGATTAATATTTTATAAAGATTTCTATAGAAAAATTATATTCAAGGTTTAGTTTTGAAGAATAATTTAAAGATAATAAAAAATATTATTAATTTTGATTTATTTATAAAATTAAAAATAAATAAATAAGTGATTTTTTAAATTTTATAGATACAAAAGAATGTTATATGTGTATTGAGTTATGTATTATTTTAGTAGTCTTATTGAAAGATATTTAATAATATATATGAAGAAGTATCTAAAGATGAAAATTTAATATTAATTAATACTTTCAAAATAACTAGAGATGTATATTGGATGAAGTTAAAAATAATAATAAGATACTAATAGAATATTTTAGAATCAAACTATATACTAAATTTGATTATAAGTCAATAATTAGATTAAGACATCTAAATGCTAATTTTTTTTACTAAACTTTGAATAAGAAGCTGAACAACATTAGTGAGTGTTTTATTACAATATCTATTGATTTATAAGTAAATTTAGTTAATTTTAAAAAAATTAAAGCTAATATAATAGTCTAATTAGAAAATATATCTTATTATAGTTTATTGATATGGATTTAGGATTTTATTAGATTTTTTAATGGTTTTTATGATTTAGAATTTATTATTTTTAAAATTTAAGATTATCAATAAAATTGATACTTTTTAGAAAGAATTATTTTAAGTACTTTATTTTTGGAAATTTAAGATAATTTTAGTATTATAGATTTTTTTTTCTACAGTCAAATACACAATTTATTTTCAATCAAAACTTCACCTAATACAATATCAATAAGTGATACCATTGTTTGAAGCAAATAGGCACAAATAAAGATTTTTTAAATACTATATTTGAATAAATATATAATAAGATAGTTCAAAATAAACTTGCTTCTTTTATTAAAACAAAACTATAGGATTTTTTGAGAAGTCTAATTCTCCACCAAAAGCTTAAACAATTAAAAACCATCAAATACATTTTACTTAAAATTATAAAGTAGATACTAATAAAGATCTTAAAAATTAATTTATGAAAGATTAAATTATTTTGAGCCATTTAAATTCTTTTGAGAAGTAGACTATATATTGGTTTATATCAACTGCAATATTTAGGAGACACTTTTATCTTAGTTCTTAAATAGATATTTATCTTGCTTGTTAAAAGTAGAAGCCTTTGTGAATCTTTGTTATGACAAGAATAATAAATTTTAAAGACTTAGATTGGCAAAGCCTCCAATCTTTGATAATTCATATAATGCTACATTTTGAGATTTGAAAAAATACTACTTTTAATATATAGAGCGATTTGAATTTATTTTTTGAATATCTCAATATCTAATTTAAACATCTTATTTACTTTCGATCCATATTTGAATCTAATAAAGATAAAAAAATATTGATATTTGTTAATAAAGACACCATCTTAGTTAAATCATACTTCAAAGTCATTTTTAATTGTTTGACCTACAAAAATTAAGTTCTTAGTAATATTAGATATATAGAGAACTTCTTTTTATTAGATATTTTTGTTTGTAAAAAAAAAATTAATTATAATATAAATAAATCTATGTCTAAAATCACCATCTATACTTTTAAACCTAAAGTTTGATAATAGTTTCTAAAACCAAAAATACTAACTTGGTGCATCATGTTATTAAAACAACTAGAATGATAAGCCATTCATTATATGTCCAATCATTTGTATAGTAATAGATATCTTAACCAATATTTAATTTATACAGGAAATATTTTTTATTTAAGTTTATTGAAAGAGCTTACCAGCTTGAATGTGATCTTAAACCTAAATCTTAAAATTTAATATTTCTTTTTTAAATGAATATTTAATTCGTAATAATTTAAAAAATTAAATGTAAAATAGAAGCACCTTTGGGCTTTTATAATGGTTAGCACCTTTAAAATCTAATCTATAATTAATATCTTAATTTCTTTTAATAAACAACTCATAATCTTGAATAGCAAAACTAGTACAAATACCTTGTAGATGCATTTCTTCAAGTACTAACATGAAAATTAGTATTTGGAAAGATTTAAAATTCTAATTTTTTATAATATCAAACATACTTGTAGTCAATTAACATAATTATTTTACAAATTGGAACTTCTAAGGTTTTTCTAATTCTTTTCTTGCTTTAATATCTTCAAATTATAAAAAGAATAAAAATAAAACATTCATAAGAGAATAAGAAATCAAAATTTACACACAAGAGTCATAGTAAGTCATCAATCTTATTTTTAAAATCCCAGTAATATATCTTATTTGTTAAAATCATCAAAGATAATATGTTAATATTGTTAAAATAATTTTAAAAATATTAAATTAAGATTTAGATAGTTTTTCAAATAATAGATTTCTTATAAGATTTTTTTAAAAATTAAATGGATTCTTAATAATTCTTTGTATCAAATATTTTGATTAATCAAGTATATTTTTATGTTCTATATATATATATATATATATATATATATATATATATATATATATATATTGTTTAATTATTAAAACTAACATCTAAAATTATCTTTGTTATTTAAATTTTACATATTAAAAATTTGTACACAATAGTTAGTAGGTATGAGCATAAAGAAGAAAATTATAATTTTTATAATAATTTAAATATAAAAAATAAGATTATTTGTTGATTTAAATTAATTTTGTGGCTATAATAAATTATCAAGGTAATAAGACTAAATGGTCTTAACTAATTACATGAATCTTTAAAATATTAGAAGATTTATAAAATTAAATTAGAAGTTTATTTTAAACTTTGAAAATACTTCTTTTAAATTTTGTTAATAAAATATAATATGACAAATAGCTAGTAGAAAATTAGATTTTTTTAATTAATTTGTATGTTTGGTTTCTTTCAAATGTTGAAATTATATTAAAAACTTAAATTTTTTTAATATACTTATCTAAATTGGAAACAAAATTGTTATCAATAATATCTTTGAATTTGTTTTCTTTAATTTTGACTAAAATTTCATAGTTAGTTTGAAATACAAGTCTTCTACTTGTATACATATTTGTAGCTTGAGCTAATATATAGATATCTATTTATTATTAAAATTCTAAATATTTCTATTTTTCTATATTCTAATACCATATTATCCTTGTCTTTTAAAATCTTTCAATTGGATTGTACAAATAATATAAAACTTGACATATATATGCCACACAATTATTAAAGTTTTATTGTAGATAATATATAAAATACAAAAATCAAATCTAAATCCAATCTTTAATTTTAGTATCTTTCAATAAATATCATAAAAAACCCTAACTTATAAAAAACCTCTTTTAAGGTTGTTCTAAAACAAAATAAGCAAACAATTTTTTTCTAAAAGTAAAATAAACTTCCTTTGTGATTTGACTTGTTTATGTCAATAAGATCTTCTATTTTTGCTTTAGACCTATGTTTAGTGCTTTGAAATCAAGTTAACATTGCATCAAGAATGGCCAACTTTCCACTATTAATTCTATTATTCTTTTTGCACAATCCAATCTCAAATTCTATCATAAAGCATACTATTCTATTCTCCAACCTATTTACATTACTTTGATCAAATTAAGGCCCTACTAAGGTAATAATATTCTTTTGCCATACCATATAATCTAAAACTAAAATAAAAGATAATTACATATAATATCTAAATTGTTAAGATATAATTAAAATAAATAGAATTAAATATTAATAAATATAAATCTTTGTATAAAAGTCTTTACTGTATATTTTAAATCGCTATTAAGCCACAACTAATAATATCATTATTGCTTTTATTTATGTTTTTGCTACATAGCTATTTTATAATATGATAGTATACAATATATAATATAGTAATATTACAATATATAAGCATGTACAAATTCTAACAATTCAAAGATAGAAGCATAAAATTGCGAAGGCTTTGAAAGAAGGGCAATGAAAGTGTGGAAGAAGCAAAGCTCTTAGAGTGTACTTAAAATCCTCAGGACATAGATGAAAAAAAGATAATAATTTCTTTTCTAAAAAAAGACAATAATCCTTCACGAAATGAATCGGTAGCTTGAGCCTAGGCACATTGAAAGCACGAAGTCTTTCCGAAAGTGTACAGAATGCAGAGAGCTTGATTAAGGATCGATGTGGGTGGTAGTTGAAGATGGCATTGCTTTTGCAGTTGTAGCAATCCACGCATGTGATATGTCACGGCTATCTCCAGATGCAGCACCATTAAACACACACAGTTGTAGAGTCTAATCTGCAGAGAAATAAGATGAAGAATGATACATTAATCCGTGAAGTAGACCTGCTATACGATTAGAAGTTCACAGGTTTGCAAGAGGACAACACATACAAATGACTCCAGCTGCATCTCCAAATAGTTGCTAGAGATCAGAAAGCCACACCTCCGTCTCAGGCTAGAAAAGTTGGTACTTTCACTGATTTTGCAACCAAACTTTAATCCAGAGTTGTTTCATTTAGTTACTACGAGCTTGAACCTACTGGAGAATGGAAGAGATCATGAGGGTAATACTTTCAGCGTATTATGCCCACACCTTGTGAACAGGAACGCGTAATCATGTACGTTCCCCATTAATCATGACTACAGAAGAAAAAAAATGTCTTATCATCTCAGGTGAAGCAGGGCTTGGTAAATCAATCAAGTTCAAATGATTGTCTACGACAAATCTGCGAATGCTATAAACGAACAGTACTCTGGTCAGGCATTTCACCAATCAAAAATAGAGAATGTCTTCAATAAATGAAGTACGGATGGATGTGTTGAACTATGTATTCATGGCCAATGACCCCACTGTGCAGGTCGTTGTCTTGATATGAGCAAGACACATGAGCTTGCGAAATCAAAAGTAGGATTATCCAGTTCATCCGGGCCAAGTATACAGCGAACATTTGAAATTACTTGACCAGATGAATACTGTCTAGCAGGTTCCATTACAAATAACCCATTCCCATTAGCAGCCATAATAGTATCTGATGAGCCCCACACTTGCGTGATAGGGAGCTGAGCAGTATGGCAGTTTGACAGCGGCAGAGAATAAACATTCATGAGCTTTCCTTGCCGTATCGACCAGTGATTGAGTATGGACTGAGGTTGCATTACTGTTGTAGCTCCATCATCTAGAATTCTGGCTTTGTAGCTAATTGCACCAGAATAAACAGCATCCCCATCAGCGAAGATAGACTGCGTGTCCTCGTCGAGTGTGGGGAACTTCTTGCCAATGCCTGTTGGGACTCGAAAATCAAGGACGTTCACTGCGTCGTCGGTACAAAGTATCCCATCACTGTGATGCTCAGACGCGCTCAACCTGAACAAGGACAAAATTACTCGTGAGACCTCAGTCAAAACAGACCAATCACATGCAAAGCCCGCCATAGGGACATTTGGCATCAATGACACCAAAGTTCAGCTCTGTATGGTGAAATAATGAGAACACCAACATATAACAGATGACAACGAATTCGTTGTTGAAGAACCATTGACGAAGTGGCTAAGCAGCGAATGTCATGTTACCTCTGTCGCACGCCACCGCTGCACTCGGCATCAACGTTGTACACATGTAAGGCACGCATCTGCTTTTCAGGTAGATTAACAGTGTGAAGAAGCTGAGGTTTTAAGCTCTCAACGTCCCAGAAGCTGAGGCAATCGAGTCCTGTCAGAACAAGCTTGCCTGGACATAACAGAACGTAAATTCAGTTAGTGAACAAAAAGAATCAAGGAGCATGAGGGTTGTAGTCACTGAAAAAACTTCAGCATTACCAACGATTTTAGCTGGAGACTGATATAGGTTCAGCTTTATCTTCTGTGAAAAAAGGATGTACTGCACAAGGGCGGCAGTGTGAATCAATCATGCAAATATAATAAACAAACCCACTAACTGTCAAGATATTCAATTAGTCTTACTTTTGTTACGCCATTGCACGGGGCTACTGTACGCCATAGATGCCACAACCTTCTGTGTCTCCCAACGCATCACTGACTCGCCGTCCCGAATATCATACAAAGAGACAGCTGACAATCCACTGGCAACAGAGGCTAGGAGGGGTCCACATGGTCTATACCACCAAAGGGGTAGATCAACAGGCTTGCTCTCTACTTCCTCCACATCGTTCCGCTCCAGAGACATACATCTGTTAAATGCTTTCTTGGTAGCAGCGTTCCCGCTTAGTTTTGTCATATTCATAGCACCAGATCTGTCCAACCATTTCCTAAGTGCCATTTTCGATTCTGGACCACATGAATCTTTTAAAAATGGCGTTTCTTGATCAAAGCTCCTAGCTCTTCCTTTAGAATCTCTGGGAGGATTGGGCAACGAGGAAAGTTCACAGTGATAAGAAACAGTTTTTCGACTGTAAAAATCCCACGAACAAAAAGCAGAGTCTCTTGTCCCACCACCGGAAGCAGCAACAACAAATTTGCTAGAACGACCGTCAGTGCCAGGGGCTTGTACAATCCAGCAGTCTCCCCATCGACGAGATGTCAACGTACTTGGACAACTGTAAACAACCTTCTCCTACAATTCATGGAACAGGGCAACTTCTGTCAATAATCGCATGACCTATACAGACACTGTATGTCGTACCTTTGAACAACAATGAGTATTCTAAAATCCCCTTGGTCTGCCAACATAGAGCTTGACTTAATTGTACAATTACACATGAAAACGTACTAAATATCAATAAGGGAATCAACAATGAATCCTACCTCCATATTAGCAACATCGTGATAAGAGCAACTAGAGTCGTCGTGAGCAAGCAGTATGCCTTCACCCTTACACGCAAACCATCCTGCAATGGCAACCTTACTACCTACATTGAGAAGTTGTTTCTCAGGTATTTCACTCGACCCATCCTCTTCATTTCTGGCAACTGGACTCAACACAGCGAAGTCATCGTCTTCCTCATCTTCTACAACTACAGACTCATCACATCGCAAGTCGTTGATGGAGAAAGTATCATCGAAAACATCCCCGTCGAAGGACCTAACTGGTGTAGGCTGTCTCCTGTAATCCAATTTGGTAACTTGCCTAGAGAATTGACTACCATCTGACAATTTCAGATGGCTAATATCCGCGAATTCGCTCTCCGAATTCATACAAACGACTGATTGGAGATTTTCAGTAGGTTCCGCAACCGAGCTATGATTTGAAGGAGACAAATATTCACTTGATGATACGTCGCATGCCTCACCTGAATACCTATGTTTCTTATATGAAAGTACGCTCCCACCTGATGAACTGTTCTCTGAGAAAATGCAGAACACTCAAGTGAGAGGAAGAAAAAAACAAATCACTGACACCTCTAGTAAACAACTCATTTTTACAAGACTCTGCTTATGCATTACCTGTTCAATACATTATTTCAACTTTAGACTCAAGACCGAGGAATTAAAACTTGCAATTTGACAGTCCAGGGGCGCAGTATTACATTATCAGGGATATTCATTCCACTGTGACAGTTCACAGGTTTTAGAAGTACTTAGTGGGAGAGAAAAAATCTTCTATCCATAACCTAGAAAATACTTCTCTTCAAGGAATTAACAGCACATGCTGCGTGTGTTCAGAATCTGTTGCATGAGTCAACGTCACTAGAGGAGGCAATGACCTAAGAGTCCACCTATGGACTCTGAAAGAGATAAGAAAGGTTTTCGTTCTTTCAAAGACACATATAATACCTCAAATGACTTCCCAGCTTCTTCCCGGAAACATAGCTCACCATCAAGAGACGTCGGAAATGTCGTAGACATTACTTCTCCCTCATCACAAGCACAAACTTCGTCTTTGTCCCTTCCTCCAAACTCTGCCAACCTCATGCAGAGGAGCTCCCGATTATCATTCTCATTCAGTGTAGCCCGGCTCTCGGCAAGTCTATGGTGGAGGAATGACCCAGTCTTCACTGGCTTGAGGGCCTGAGAAGGGTATTTGCTGTAGCAGACCTCAAAAGTAGGCTGGATGTGACCGTGACACACTATTTCCAACCTAGAGTGGTTCAGCGCTGGACGCTCATGGACTCCGGACACCTTTGGCGAAGTAGCATTGCTAAGCTGTGACCCTAAAGTTTGCCTCTCGTGGAGTGGCTTTAGCCCGGCCTCCAAAGCTGGAGAGTCTTCGGAAAAGGGTTCAGAAGACAACCGTTGAGGTACGGGCTCGGAGGCTGTCACGTCGTAACGATGTTTGTTAGTGAGGGACTGCAGCGCCTTTTTGAAACCCTCTTGCTCCATGAGAATTCTCTCACGCAAACCATCGCTGTCATTACGGCCAGAGGAGATCCTTCCTGATAAGCGTGTGACTGTGCTCTGTATTGGTGAACCAGTCATGCACCTCTCTATATTCATGATTTTCGAATGAATATCTGTGAGCAAGCCTTTGGAGGAGATTGGGTTGCTGGCACCTAGAAGCTCCTTGGTTTCACGAAGCTCAGCAGCTATTTGGTTAACCCTCCCTTCCAGCATTGACAAGCGGCCGTGGAGGGAGCTCTGGATGCTACCAAATCCCTCGACTTCCTCCTCTTGCTCTACTACCTTCGAGGCGGACCTCACTGGGTTAGTGTATTTTTTGGAGGTAGTTCGAAAGACCGAGGAAGACTTGGCACACTTCCCGCTTGTGATAGACAAGGGAGACGCTTTAACCACAGGCTTATTCTCCACGAGGCGTCTCCTGTTGACTCCAGCCTGCGGGGGAGAGTTGGTAGACGCTACCTTGCTTAGTCCAGGCTTGATTGAAGTCCTTCCAGTCGATAAACCGCTCTTCGAAAGGGCTTCATCGCGATAAATGTGCAATGCTGCAGACCTCTTTGTGCTTGGAGCCAAATGGCTGGCACGCAATACAGGTGAGGCAACTCTCGCTAGGATGCTTTTCTCAGTGGTTGCTGTAGAACCTGGCCTTTTCAAATTCACGGAGGAAGCTCGAGGAGTAGAACGCTGCGACGAAGATTTCAGCTGTGAATGATTCTCGGCATCGCGCAATGCACCTCGAGCTCTCACCGCGACGGGTTTGTTGTCAAAATCCCAGCTCGCGCTTCGCTGCCTGTCGCTCATTCGGGTCCTGCTCAATCCTCGGCATCCCGCTTTCACGTCCTCCCCCTTCACAGCCATCCTCCTAGTGACGGCAGTTGGATGGACAGCTTCTTGGACACCCTTATTCGGCTCACCGCTAACACCCCTAATCTTCATTCTGCAGACCTGGAGTGTGCGTTCTCAACAGTAAACTTCACAAGTGCAGCAACATCCTTTGCAGCAACTGCATCACAATTTAAGCTGACATTGTCATTGCTGATAAGTTGATAGCCATAGGTTGCAACAAGTAATACATTACATGCAATGCTGCTCTTAGAAGAAACATCAGATCATGTTGATAGTAGTAAACCACTCGTGTCAACAATCGCGGCAGATCATCGTAATGAGTAGACAACAAACCATTGGCTGACCAGTACCAGAAGAAAAAATTGTAATATTGACAAAATCATATTCTACACCAAATTTCAAGTCTGGGCATAGAAGAGACTTCACTCACACTTGACGATGCAGTAGCCTCTGCATTCTGACCTCTAGATATTCGATACACTACGTGAAACGCTAAGCCCCAACTGAAGCATGTTGGAATTTAAATACAAACTGAGAAAGAGCACCGACTCACATGTCAACCAACTCACAGGGCCCAAAATTTTGAAATCAAATTTGATCGGTTAGTGAAAATACTGCAGTAAAAGTTGGGCCTAAATTGATCAACACGCTCCTGTAGGTTTGATACACCTTAAGACTTAGTATCACTCAGAATGTTCCAGCATATTCATGCGTCAAATTTATTGCATGGAGCAGATGATTTTCAATGCGGCGAAAACATTTATGTCGTAGCAGGATTGAAATGATAGTGCAAGTTGTGACTAAAAGGATTAATACATTGTTCGTGGTTTTTTCCTTGCTGTGGAGAAGCACACTTTGCCTGTGTGAGATGACGAAGGGCGTCATATTAAGATGGGTTGAACGAAAAGAGAAAAATAACCCACTTGTACAGGAATCAGAGCTAACATCATTTACTTTCACTTCACTGTTTTTAGGAGGAAACAAGAACAAGCTGATTAATGATCCACTCTCGAAGGTAAATCACCTGATACTGCTGGCTGTGTTCCGGATCCTGCACATCAACTTCATGAGCCACCAATTCAGAGTCCAGACGTGAGCAGATTCAACTATTATTCCGCACTACTAACCCCACAGCGTCTGCTAACCTGTTCATCTAATCCTCTCAACCCCACCTTTGTAGCTGTGTTAATCCCACTGCCTCCTCTCTTCCCATGTGTCCCTCTAATTTCTCATCTGAGTAACAGAACCCTCTCAGTCGACACATTTCGACAAGCTCTTCTCACTCATAATGTCCACACCGCATCGATATCACACAACCTGAAAACTCAAATGTAATCTCATACCATGCACCGATCTGTCAATTCTTTCGCCCTGTCCCACAAGATTTCATCAATATCACAGCTGGAAATATAAAAAAAGAAAAAAGGGCTTCCAGAATAACCCGTCAAACTCTTCGCTAAAAGCAGCCAAAAAGGCTAACATTCCCTTTCGGTAACCAATCACTCACGATGCAGAAATCCATCTGCATACAACAAACCCGAGCGAAACAGAACCACGCAGATTCCAGCACCAAAACTGAAACTCACTGCCACCAACATCTCTCCCCCTACCTCCCTGTTCTAATAGCAGTCACTTCCCAACACTCTCCAATTCCTTCACACACATGACCACCACTCAAACATGGGCTACCACACAAAACTGCGAAAACATTTTCAGTACCCGACCTGCACAATCCCCCTCCCCCTCCTTCCCCACTCGCTCATGCGTGCAACGAAAAGCAGGACCGGCACTCGCAATCCACACAACAGCACAAACTACATGTGAACCCCGGTCACTGACTCCAAATTCAAACTTCAAAAAACAAAAAAGGGCGGTCATTGGAACCGCGTTTTCAAATAAAACTCAACCTCGCTCAAACACACGGATCGATGCCTCACACTACTACTACTAATACTCAATCGACAACAACTCGATAACACTGCGCGAGGCTTCCTTCCTTCCCTTCCGTCTTCGATCGGAGCTCCATGGTCCATGAAAATCCCTTTCCAATGTAACTTGTCACCGAATTGTCATCGCTTGATTTCGGCACCTTATTGGTCACAAATTGGCGGGGCGGGACGGGGCCGGGCTGGGCTGGGCTGGGGCCAACAACGGGGCTCTCTCTCTCTCTCTCTCTCTCTCCAACCAACATGGCTGTCTCTCGCCCGCTCGCCCGCTCTGTTCATCTACAACCTGGTCAAACTTTCATTCGTTTGTGGCACGCACTTCCTCGATTCTGTTCATCCGTCTACGGATTCCGTTCCTGGTTACCAACTGTGTTGGATGGATTCTTGTATGATGGATGAAAGTATGTGAGGGATGAATAAATACAACTCTTGTTCTTTTTTGGGAGTGTTTTGCTTTTGACTCTCACACCCTGAATTCTTTTTCGAGACAGATGCCCACGAAGTTGAATATTGGATGTAAAGTGTGGCTTGAAATACCACAAAAAGCAACAACGCTCTTTTGTTGTGGGGATAAGCTTTTTTCTACACACCAATTGCTAGTCGATCAGCTTTACTATTCTTTTCACATGACAACCCCATGTTTGGGCTTTTAGCAAGCGTCTAAATCAAACCCCAATGATATGAACCATTGGAAAATGGCATTTTGTAGGTGGAGGAGGAAAAAAGAAACCTCCCCACCACCCCCCACCCCAAAAAAAGAGGAAAGCTGGCTGATGAAGCCACAAAGCAGGGATGAGAGAGCCCCCATGAATAAGTTAAGCTGGGAGCTCCCTTTCCTTGCAATTGAGAGATGATCCATGAATGTCATCAGTTCAAAAACCCTTCGCAACTTACGAGGTGGCACATTTATATTCATTTGTTGACGAAGCAGCCCAGTTCCTTTAATTGCAAGGGAGAACGATGAAGATCGTCATTGTTCAATATCCAGGCCCTTCCTGTGAGAGCTAAAAATGACCTAGAATTTGAAATTCAGGTTGCTTAGGAAGTTGAAGCCGGAATTGGGTGGGGTGGGTTTGTGGGTAATAACTGTGTCAGAGAGGAAGGAAGTGAGAGAGGGTGGGCAAGAGCCCTTCATTCATTTATTTTATTTTATTGCCAGAGTGTGTGCCAGAAAAGTGGCAAGTTGTGTGCACAGGGACACTGTCGGAACAGTTGGGCTGAATCTCAGACCTCTGACTGATAAATTGTGCTTGCGGTGGCCTTCTGCGAGATCTGGGTGAAAATAATAGAATGTTATTATATGAAAAAAAAAAAAAAAAAAAAAAAAGTGGGTTTGAAAATAAATAGAATGGGAAATTATAGAGTTCGAACTTCCTTGCCCCATTACCTCCTCAATTTGGAACAATATTAATACAAAGTTAAATAAAGACAAAATCAAAATGAAGGAGATATTCTGCCAAGAAGTGAACGCATCTGGTATTTGTTGTAATTATACACATAGTGTGCGACTTTTTCAGGAGAAATAAATATAAGTTCATGAATTGTTCCAATGCAAATCACCTTCTTCGTCAAAGCATTTTGATTAATTCACACACACACACACACACACACACACACACACATATATATATATATATATATATAAACACAAACATTTATACACGCACATTTATTAATCACAACCAAATGTATTTTTTCCTTCTCATTTAATGTGTATTAGTGTGTCAGACCTTTTTGTCATGCTTTTAGATTTCATACTCGACTGATATGGAAAGCACATGTGGCAGTATTTGGTAGAACCTTCTATTGATTTATTTACCTGTTTACTAATTTGGTTGTATGAATTATCATTATCAATTTGAAAGTTGCGTTAAAACAACTGAATTTTATAGGAATGAAAAATTATTAAATTAAACATATTAATGCACATTCTGCAAATGTATGTGTTTTGATTTTGAAAATAACAACCATATGAAATAACACTTAAAGTTTTTAAATATACTGAATCTGATTGTTGTAAAAATAAATTCCATTTACAGCTGATTTTTCTATTTTATTTTCTAAAAACCATAATGTATATGACTTGTGTTTGTGCACAGTGAAAGTGCTACAAAATATAAAATACATTAAATTTTATTATAGTATTAACTTTAGTCACGATTCAATTCTTTAATATTCTCCACACTGGTTTTATTTAATTGATTGTTAGTTCTGCAAATACCAAATTCATTTTTTTAAAGGTAAAAATACATACACACACACCCACACACAAAGATTTACATATATATATATATATATATATATATATAAACAGTTTACTTACGACGTTACTGATTTAGCACATGTTTGCATTACTTTTTGTACACCATTGTGTTATGTAATTTTTACAAACAACTATGTTGTATATTGTCATACAGTTCCATGAAAAGTCAACACCAATTTATTTTCACATTGTCTTGTGTCAAATGTAAGGTCTTCAATTTGACACCCAAAATTATTTTAAAATATGTAAAAATAATTGACTGATTTAAGTTTACATGATCTATTTTTTATTGGCTAAGTCTAAATAAACCTCATGTTTTTCATGATTTTTAATTTAAAATTCAGTTTGCAGAAACACGTTAAATCCACAGTTCATATATTATTATTTAAGTAACATATACATGTTCACATATATTATTAAACACGGAATTAAAATAGAACAACTAATAAAAACTCCTTTAGCAACCCAAAGTTCTTGTCTCTTGAAAAACTTAGTATAAATTCAGTGCACAATCATTTAAGTAATCACCAGGAAGTTGAACCATTTAAGTGGTATATTTTTATTTATATCTATGATTATGCCATTTAAAAGACAATTTATATAAATATAAATAGGAAGGAGTAAATGAACGGCTTGATTTCTCCAAAAGTGGTGTACTTACTTTTACTTTATTTATTTATTGTTTTCTTAATGAATAATATTTTGTTAGCATGGACGTTAATTTTCATACTTTTTGAACTTTAAAAACTACAAGATCTACATTTTCATTAAATTAATTAATTAATCCGAAAAAATAAATTTCATCCACATGCAATAACGTCCCATTCATTAACATTGTTCATTCATTCAACTACTATGACCTTTCATTTATTCGCAACAAGGTATCATCCACTTAACTAGGGTAAAGTAAAATGAGGCAGTAAATTGAGGAGAGAAGTAAAACTCATGGAGGCCATTCGGGGGTAAAACAAATAGGGAACACGTTTCATCGGTCTTCTCCACGTGTAGGACACCCCATCATTGGATTCGTACCCGATGGAGTGCCCAACGAGAGTTCCCCGAACTGGGAACGTGTAATTGTACAGCTGGACATATTCTACAAATTTGTGGACCGACGCGGGTCCAACTGGTACCGATGTGAACTCCATTACCTTGATCCAAACCCACGCCGGTTAAACGCCGGATTTTGATTGATCTTATCGGACGAAGGGGAGACGGACGGACTGACGGACGAATGTATTCGTTGATGGACGTACGTTGATGTGACTCGACGAGAACATGACTGTCGTCAAGCGACGAACTCTTTGAAAACTTCGTTTTAAGTCCACTCCGCCAATAATCAAACTCAACAGAAATAAAACCACGATTATATATTTTATATTTTATTATGAAAAAATGATCTTAGCTCGTTATTCTTCTCATTTTTTTCTCTTTTATTTATTTATTTTTTCTTCTAAGCATATTTAAATTGTTTTTTATTTTTCTTTTTTTATTTTTCTTGAATTTCATAATTTTCATTCATTTTAATTTTTTATATTTTTAAGGCCAATATTCGAAACCTTATGTTGCACTGAATATTATAATTTAGGCATTTGGAACAGAATTTGAATTTTCTATTTAAAATCCTGATAATTCTTTTAATTCAAAAATTATAAATGAGCTTTGCTTTATTAGAAAAAAAGAAAAATCATAATTATCCTAATAACATGATTTCTATAATTTTATGCTACATTCAAAAAGTTTATAAAAATATAAAAGAATTTGATAAGATTTATTCTTAAACTTTTATAATTGTACCATTGAGATTCTTGTACTGTCATGTTTTTTTTATTATATATAAATGCTGCGACTTCCATGCGTTAAAATTACTCAAATTGAACGTTCAAATTCAACTTTATCATTTTGTTTGATTTTACATTTCAAGGTGCATTTTACTCAATCTTTTCTACTTGATCTTGTATTTTTTTCACAGATTTATATATTATCACTGCTTCAATATCTTTAATTGCCTCTATTATATTTCTTATTATTACTACTGCATCCCAACATTTTTAAGCTCTTTTATTTTCACCATTGGCTCATGATGGAAATAATTATATATTATAGGTAAAAATTGAAAAACAAACTTATTTGTAGAATAATTCTCAGATATAATTTTGTTTAAACAATCTCATGCTGTAAGTACTTCTATTCTTCCTACTATTTGTTAGAAAGTACTCCTTCTCCTTCATTATCATCTTCTATTTACATTGCAACATCAATATTTGGAAATAAAAAATCTAACCAAGCTTTGGAAGAATCTTAAATCTAGGTTTTGATCATCAAAAGACTATTTTCCTTCCACATGCACGTTATGATTGGACACATTTATGTGTCTTGGATTTTCAAAATTTAAATGCTTTCAACAATAAAATGTATTGTATTGTCTCACAACTATAATTATGTAAACAAAGCATCTTTGAAGAAAAAATGATTGAAAAAATTCTCTCTACATATCTTCTCGCATTTATAGTGCTTGCATAATAATATAGGAATATGAAATTTCAAAGTCATTTTGATTTCATGTCCTATCTATTTCTTGCTGAGAAACAAAATGAATTACTTTTATATAATGCAAAAGCTTGTCTTATTACAACTATGGTTTCAAAATCTTATATATTTAATATTTCAAAGTTTAAGAAAAAATTATACAAACATGGAAAAGATGCTCATAAGTACCAAGGCAATCGTGATCATGACCATTTTTATCCATACAAAAGGAATAAACATTCTACTACTAATTATAATAAAAAATAAAAAATAAAAAATACATTGTCATAATACGTGAAGTCTTGCTTGAGAATGCTCTAAGCACCAAGCTATGGAAGGTA